GCATAAGCTTTCGTGGACTACATATGCATCCGAAGAAGTGGGCTGTAGTCCACGAAAGCTTATGCTCTAATAAATTTGTTAGTCTCTAAGGTGCCACAAGTACTCCTATTCTTTCTTTAAGATTTTGGCACTCATCCTAACCCAAAACTGAAAAAAGTTGGGATGGGGAGGAAGGCGGGGGATAGAAAGGTGTGAACAACATCAAAGAAAAGCTTTGCATGATCCCCTACAAAGTACATCTAAAGCGCTAAGAACAGAACGGGCATCACGCTCAGGTCCAAGAGCTAAGAACATCTGGGGCTCCTTTCAAAGCCATTTAATTGTGCCTCCTGCTGCAAAGCCCAAGTCTCATTTTGTAACCTTCACCCTCCCCCACCACGCCACCTGCTGCAAATTGATAGGCCACGGGGGCTCAGTCCCTTTGAGGGACACAGGTTATGCATCCAGAATCGGCACTTGTGTCTGTGCAGGCTGACAATGGGTGTAACACGAGGAGTGGAAAATGTGTGTTCCAGCCAGGGCTGCAGTGAAGCCTAGGTGGAGAAACCTCCAGGGGAGGGAACATAGACACCGACTCAGTGGGTGCTCCGGGGCTGGAGCGCCCACAGAAAAAAAAATAGTGGGTGCTCAGCACCCACCAGCAGCCCCATCGATCAGCTCCTCCACCTCCCCTCCAACGCCTCCTGTCCGCCGGTGGTCAGCTGTTCAGCAGCATACAGGAGGCACTGGGGGTGAGGAGGCAGAATGGGGCAGGAAGAGGTGGGGCGCAGCGGGGGTGGGAAAAGGCGGGGACAGGGGTTTGGGGGAAAGGGGTGGAGTGGGGGCGTGGTCTGGGGCAGAATGGGGGTCAAGCACATCCCCGGGAACTCAGAAAGTCGGTGCCTCCGGGAGGTACTATGGCTTGTCCATATGTAATGCACAGGGCACACCCACGGTGCTAAATCAATAACAGCAAAGACGTAAGAGGAGCCCGTCCTTATTCCCCAGAGGGCTCAATATTACCCCACAGATACCCCAAGATTACTTCAGCTTGAAGCACAACCCGACACCACTTGGCAGTGCAGCGTTAAACATCATGGTAGCATTTAACCTGTCCCAGATGACCTCATAACCCATGGACCCCCTGTGGCTTTTACGCGTGATTTACGTGGTGTTCTTACGTCTGGTGCTAGAGCAGTGGACTATTGCTCAGCGCTCAGCAGCGTTGTTCTGCTACGGGAACGGGTGTCAGTTAAACACAGGAAAGCCAAGAACTGCAACAGCCACCGACTCTTGCTTTGTCTTACCAGGTTGCCTTCATCATCAGCGTCATCATCATCCATCTGGAGCTGCTGTAACAAGACGCCTGGGGAGGTTTTCCCATTGCAGTCTTGATGCTCTGATGCAGCGGTCCGGCTGCTGTGCATGCTGCTGGTTCGGTACAGGGAAGGCACCTGCAAGGTATCTTGGAGATCGAACGAGCCTTTCGTTTCCAGCGATGCCATGCGGTGAGGTAAAGAGCCGTTGACGCTCCCAGCCCGGCTGGACCTCTCCTCGTCCGAGCTTTCCCCTTCCTCCGAACTCTCCTTCCCGTTCCCAGACAAGAGGGACTTGCGCTCCCCACTCTGGCTCCGGCGTTTCAGGCTGGGAGCCCGCCCCAGGCTATTCCAGCTTGACCGGCGACTATTCCAGCTGCTGGCTGCGCTCCAAGGGCTGTGGGGAGAGCTCTGTATGCTGGACTGAGGAAGGGACAAGAACATGGAAAGAGTCAACCCAACATCACTGCCACCATCTCGTGCTTGTTCCCAACGGGCAGGCCTAGCGATACCAAGGCAGCGAGCACAGTATAAACACCTAGACAGACAGCCCACACAGCTGGAAACAGCCACACAAACCAAACAGAAACAAAGCAGCCACAAAGTGTGATCAAGAAGATGAGCTGCATACCGGTGATTTGAGTTCATAGGCATTGGGATCCATGGAGACACTGCTGGCTCTGCGAGATTCATAGCCCCGAGCTGCATCTCCGAACACGGCACTTTTTGGCATTGGCATTGGAGTGGCAGCTGTGTGGATGATGAGAGGTGGGGTCAGACTCTTCTTCAGCTCTGGGAGGTCGCTCAGTACCATCACTGGAAGAAACAAGGAGTTTTTAAGATACTGCAGCTCTAGGAACATGCAATAAACCATCATTCTCCTTCACCCTTCAGGTTGAATCCAAAATCAGGGTGACAAAGGACGTGATGGCCCTAAAGGAGCCAGCTCTAATCAGAACATGGGGAGGACATGGGGCCAATAACGTCATTTCACGAAAAGGAGAGAACTCTTCAATTAATGGGACAAAGGAGATTTTTAATGAGTGAGTGGGAGGTTGGGTTTTTGTTTTAAAACCAGAAATTGCATGGCACGGGGACTTAAATAAACCCGTTTTAAAGATCAGCAGCCAAGAACAGACATTGGTTTGTCATCTGCTGCTTCAGGAGCACCAGCAATCTGCCAACCATGCCTCCCCCAACTTCCCCCTTCCCTTAATTTCTTTCATCTCCTCCCAAGCTTTGCTTCCCACAATTTCCCACCCTCTCTTCCTGTAAGTTCTTTCCCTACTTCCTCTCCCTATGCTCTTCTTCCCCAGTTCTCTTCTATTTCTGTACTCCTTCCTCCATGTTCTTTCAACAGAAGTCCTACAACACTGCCGAGTGTGCTTTGTGGCCCCACACTCTCCTTCTTATCCCCTGAGCTTCAACTCCCCCAGTTTCTCCTCTTCCTACCTCCCCAAATCTTCTACCTTGTGGACAATAAATATGTCTCCCTGCAAAACTCATCCTGACCATTCCCTGTGCCTGCTCTCCAAGCTTTAGTGCATCACAGCTCTGCTGCCTGTCAAAGTGGTAACTACAGGCAGCGGGTCCCTGCTGTTTCCTTCCCCAGGTATAAACCCCATATCAATAGTATATGGGCTGATTCTTGGGCTTTACTGGGAGATAATGGACTAACACCATTATATATCTTTGCCTTTAGGTCATGATCCATGACTCATTTAAAATCAGTTATACCTTGATAGAGTCTGCAATGGCCTGAGATACTGCGTAAACACTCCCCCAAGAAGGGCTTTCCTCTTTTGGACACATTGTGTCTCCTATCAAGTGAAGTTGCCCTAGAAGGACTGATTTCCAGCGTGGTTACTTACAGGCTGGGTTTGACAAGTTTTTCTTAAGTCCACCCTCTTCTTCCAGGCTATGAGGGAAAAGATCTCCCTCAGAATCAGACTTAGAAGCATCTCCCTAGAGCAAAACAGAGCAGCTTAGCAACCAGGATAATTGGCTATGGGTCGTATGGAAATGCCTTCTGAACAATGGGTCCCATCTCCAAAAAACACACCTACTGACCCACTGAAATTTGTACCACAATGGGACATCACCTTCCACAAAATGAGGCATGCACATATTTATACCACATACTGTTAACTATACTCCCAAAGGGCAGAGCTACTGTATAGCCCCAAAAAGCAGCCAAGTGCTGGGGTCAGAAGACAACCACTTGACCTCCTACGCTGGAGCTGCACACCGGGCAGACACCAGTGAAAGGACGTAAACCTGATGAAGGTTCTTTGGATGAAAAACTGACTCTCTTTGTCCTTGACCATTAATATGGGACTGGGGATTAGAACTGTTTACACACAAGCACTGAACACAGCTCTTTCCACTGAAGCTTAAATGAAATAATCCAAACTTCAGCAAGTGGCATAAACACTTGACTGCAGGTTTCAGCAGATAACTGGTGTCTGTCTCTGAAAAGTTACATCAAGTGCCATAAGAGCACTTGGTGTGTGATAGACCAGCTCCCAAAGGGAGACAACCCAATAACAGCTAATTAGCCTTCCCCAAGCTGCCCATTTCACCCAATACTAAGTGGTAAAACTGTCCTATTTATTTAGGGGAGTTGCATCCTGCTGTACAATTTAGAATGCCAGGAGTTGACGAGGGGTTTCCCCTTTTGATCTTGGTCTGTCATCAGAAACCTATCCAGGAAACCAACTCGAGTCCCCCTTGAATGGTGTGAAATAATTTACCATGGCTCATCACTTCCATTGCTTATGGTGCTCTGCCAATGCCTAGCTCAGGCATTGCTGACATCTGACATAGACTGAAGCAAGACATTCCCAGCTCAGCCCTTTTTGATTCTGTCCATTGGCACTGAGGAAAAATACTTAGGGTGTGGTATAATCACAATACATCAGCCAGGAATGGAGCTTACCAGAATTATTCCCACCTGAAGGGGGTTGATTTACTACTGAAACCATAATTCTGGCAAAATGGCCCCCTCCCTTAGTATGATGTATATGGGGAGGGGAAGGGGGAAGAGGGGAAATGCAAAGACAAGAGAGAAGCCAAGCAGAATCTTACTTTAGCTCTAGGAGAACCTAGGTGCACAAGAGAACCCAACACCTCCAGTGAAGACTAAGCTGCACTACTAGCCCTGGTCCACCCTAATGAAGTTTGGTGCTTGGGTACATGTTTGATTTTAAAAGCCAGAACAGGCTCCAGCTAGGAGGGAAGTGCTAGAGTGGCAGACTGAAGGAAGTGACATTCAATACAAGACCCAGACCTGCACTCCTTACTGAGGCAAAGCCCACCTAGAAACCCAATGGGAGTTTTGCTTGACGAAAGAGTCCAGGGTCGGACCCACATTCTCAAAGGAAAACACCCTTTCTTTGGTTCAGCCAAACAGTTAAGTTTTCTCCAATCACCTGTGGACTCTCTCAGAGAAGTGTCGTCACGGAAATAGAGAGCGTGAAAGGAAGTCCTTGACTATTAAATTTCTTCCTGTCCTGCAAGATCACCCTGTTATTTGAGGAAACTCACCCTGCAGGGCCGGCAGTATTTCAAAGGGCGAGGACTGCCACTTTCAAGAAGGAATATTAAATTAACATTGGCCTGAATTTAGTTGAATTTTTAAATTCGCTGTCTCTTTATTGGAATGTGGACTTCAAGTATTCTCTCCCAGAAAGCCTGCCACTTCATTTTTCCTTAATGGGTCGTTAAAAACTAATAAGCAATGCAAATAGGTTTCATTACTTAATTTGTGTTCCTGAAATATTCTGTCACTGACAAAGGGTGCACTCTCAGGGGCGATAAGAGATGCACATTAATAAGGAGGAGCAGGACCACATGGGGATTGCAAACTTCTGTCCCCACAGCACCAAACCCCGTGTCTTTGAAGCAGCCTACTGTAGCTGTAACAGAACATACCATCACCCCCTTTAATGCGGTGTGTGACATATTAAGTGCGCTGCAGGCAAGCATCTCCCCGCAGGGCCTCGTGGTCATTACCTGTTCTTTTGCTCCCGGTTTGCCTTTCTGGATGGAAAAGGGTTTATGAGAGAACATGGAGTTAAAATCCCTTTGAAATATAAGAGTATGTTGAGATGGACCATATGTCACAGTGGCTTAATCAGCAAGTACGAAAGAGGGCAGAATGTACCTGAACAGGATAGAAAGTGCCTTTGTGCTAAAGTAAAAGCCAGAGCTTGCAGGACAGAACAGAAAAGGGGTGGAAGTGAAAAAGGAAAGACGCATGAGAAGGGAAGGGTTGGGTGAGTAAAGGGCAGGGGAGGCAAGGTTTGGTTAGTGCTTGGTTTCATAGCTTCATAAATTTTAAGGCCAGAAGGGTCCATTATGATCATCTAACCTGACCTCCTGCATAACACAGGCCAGAGGATGTCACCCAGCGATTCCAGCAACCAGTCCATAACGCCCGGTGGAGCTAGAGCATTTCTTCCATCAGTGACTACTGCAGCTGCCTCTATGCTAATATTGACTTCTCCAGAGCACAGCGCTCTGACACACAAGTGTCCACAGACTGCCTTGATTCTAGGTCGTTTCAGTCTTTGGCAGTTCTCTCCACTCCACCACATGCAGCTAGAGGGGCTAGGGCGGACGTGCATGAGGGGGATGAGGTTTTGTCCAGAAGCAGGGAGCAGCGTGCGTGATCAGGGAGGTATTTGACAAGCATGCCTGGGAAACAGCATCACCCATACCTCAGGTTTACAAGGGGCGGGCGAGGGAGGGGAGTTTAAAAGAGGCATTTGTGAGCTCTCCTGAGTGGGAAGAGTCGATTCCTGTACAGAAAAGACACAGGAAGCCAGGACAGTTTCAGGTGAGACTGGGGAGTCTGTGTTGACCTGTCTGACTTCACAAAGAAGGAAGAGACTTAAAATCAAGGCTCGCTTGACAATGACGACAAAAGGAACGACAGCTACTACAATGAGAACAGCATCATGGTGTGTGACCAGTCACCACAGAGAGAGACAACTACCAGACGGCGTTTGGGTGGGTTCATGCTGAGTTCTTACGTACCACCGACGAGTCGACAGGCAGCTGAATACAGCTTAACTGCCCACTCGCGTCTTCTCGCTTGGTGATTTCCTGAAGTAAAAATGGGGGAAGGGGAAGGAGGGGGGGTTGATTTTTTACAATTTCGGCATCAAAATTGAGAGTGGATCATAAAAAGAGAGATAGAGAGATAAAAGGAAGCAAAGTAAAAAGAAAAAAGGGTAGAGAAGGATAATATGTACTCATCAGCGGCAATTTCATACCAAGATTAAAAAGCAGAATAGGTCACAACACTCTGGACTCGTCAGACGCCACTGACTTTGTTCAGTGCAAGGAAAGGATGAAAGGTAGCACAGCCCTTAGAAGAGATCATCCTTACCTTTAAAAGAAGTGTTTCAAAAGGAGTATTTGATTTAGCTCCAATGTGATAGCTGTTGCATTAATGAAATACTGTCTGATTATTAAAACCATGTATGCTCAGGTTTTTTGTGGCTGCAAAATGAGATCTGTATTTATTATGCTGTCATTAGGCAGCAATGCGTGCGTGTTAATTAACACATAATACTGATCCCGTTAAAGCCGAACGAAATAGCTAGTTCAAGGGAAGCCATCAGAAACTTTTATAGATTAGATATGTTGTTATTTTGATTGGGCCCTATCAACTCTCATTGAAATCAGTGGGGACTTGACCCAAAGTCAATCGGAGTTTATTGACATCAGTGGGTTTTGGATCAGGTCCTGGGGGTTGTGTCTGAGTAATGACTCCAGGATTGGGCCCCAAATACCCCAAAAACAACATTTTTGTACCTACTTTATCCTTTTCCACTTGGAAAACACTTATCATTATTTCCCTTTGCATTTCCCCTTCCACAGCAAAAGTTGACTTGACAGACTTGTGTTTACTTTTCAGCATATTCAAGCATGTTTGGAGACACATGTGCAGCTTTGGGAATGGCATTTTTAAATTTAGCTGCACACTATAGAGGCAATAGGAGGAGTTTGCATATTATTTTTGGTGTATCTCTCACCTATCACATTGGTATCTCGGCACGGGTTATGAGCTGGGTAAAAATTTTCAATCAACATTTTGCAGTGAAAAATGCAGATTCAGGTCAACCAAAAAAAAATGTGTATTTTCTGTCGATTTTGGTGAAATTGTTTCAGTCAAATAAAAAAACCAAACCCTATTTTTTTATAAAAAGGCAAAATGTTTTGTTTCAATATTTTCTAAACAAAACATTTTGACTTTTCCTTTGTTTCAAAATTACCTTTAATTTTAGAAAGGGAAAAAAATCTCAATCTAAGCAAAAGGTTTAGGTGACCCAAAACATTTTTTTTTACTTTTTGTTTCACCAAACATTTCAAAAAATGTTATTTCTATTGAACCCAAAACAATTTTTCCTGATTTTTTGAAATTGCCAATGAATTGAAAAATCCATTATTTGCATAGCTTTTGCTAAGCCAACTGGGCTAATTTATTGGAGGTACTGGATTTTGCATCCCTCTATACATTAGAACAGTAAGTTAAAATTTGGATCCAAACAGGGATAGCAATGTCTTTCCAAGCATATATTGTACATGTAATTTAAAGTATTATCAAATTTGATTCTAATAAAAAAACACATGAATAACCCAGCAAAAGATTAAACACACAATTATCCTTCATAAGGATAATCCCAATGAAACTGACTGGAGTGTAAAAAGTATAGGATGTGACAAAAATACAGTACAAAATCTAAATCACTGATGAGTGAAAATTGATCATTTCCCTCTGTTTGAGTCCCAGGAGAAGTCAAGGTTCTGTTGTCTCAGATTGTTTAGCCATGGTCTGGTACTACACCACAGACTCTGGGTTTTTATCTTAGTTAATGTATAAAGCGCTGTGCATGCATACACAACCCCGTCCTCACTGAACCTTGGTTGCCTTGTGATGGGAACGGTGGAATTAAAGAACAACGGGCACAAAGAAGGGAGATGAGACAAACTCGCAACTGAGGATTGCCAGAGACAGGAAGAGAAACCAAGGGGAACATGAAATTGAGAGGATTACCAATGGAAGAATATGCTTCAGAGATAACATTATCATGAAGTCCCCCAGGAGAGGAGCTTTATGTCTGACAAAAAGCTCTCTTACCAGGAGTCATTGTTTGTTTCAGAGATAAATCCCCAGGGCAGAGACCGGATAGTTCACTCAAGTAATATCGTATTAGCAGCTCTATCAAATGGAGTCACACAGCAAATCTTCCACACCTTAGAGCTGCTGTGGTTTCAGACACAAATTCTGAATCTAAGTAATTCACAGAATGTACATTAAAAAAACCCAGGCTGCAGAAAATCCTGAGTGTGCCCTTTGCGCATAATAGTCAGGTTACAATGAAATACAGGGATCTCTGTTGAAAGTTTGGAACAGGTTCTTTTTGTTTCTTAACCGCATATGTACATCTGCTGCTTAGCAACCAAAAGACCTGCAAAGGCATGCACTAACATTAACAAGGTGTTTGCAGCTGGAGGAAAGGCACTCAAGGATCGGAGAGAGAAAGGCAGCAGCAACACACTCTGTGAAGAAATCTGAAGGACAATGAAATTAAAAAAAAACCAAATAAACCAGGAATAGAGGGTCAAGGACCCAAGAATAATCACCTGAGATAAAAGCTTGGTGTTATTTACAATGGGAGATGATCTCACCTAATTTCACTTAGTAGATGGCCCCCTGCTATGTGTGTTAGCAAGAAATGGAAACATTTTTTTGCTTGTAAAGCTGAATAAAATAGGCAGGAGCAGACCCTCAGCGGATGTAAGAAGATGTAGCTCTACTGAAGTCAAGAGAATAATGCCGGTTTACACCAGCTGAGGGTCTGGCTCACCCTATCCAGCAAACATCCACCCTATCTACATGCCTGCCTTAAAAAAAACTGCAATTGAACTGAGAGGTTTGCGTACAAGATTTAATTTGACTAGAAGACTACAGAGAACTTCTTACCATTCGCCAGGGGCTGAGGGGGTGGGGGGGAGATGACCATATATTACAAAAGTCTGAGTCACAAAAGGGGCAAATTCCAATGGTAGTGACACTGGTGTAAATCTGGAGTAACTTCATCAGCATCAACGGAGTTAAATAGGAATGACACAAACATAACAGACATCAGAATTTGGAACTAAGACCAGGGGCCCAGGTTTTGGCCTCAGTTGCACCAAGTGTAAGACTCTGATTCAGGGATGCACTTAAACACATGCTTAACTTTAGGTATGTGCATACGTACCATCGACTTCAAGTTAAGCATCCGTGTTAGTGCTTTCCGGAATTGGGGCCTAAATTAGGCATACCTCCCCTGTCTTTAATGGAATCACTCCGGATTTACAGGAGTGATTTTAAGATCAGAATCTGATCTCTCTATTCTAATGTCTAGAGGCAAACTAATTTCCTCAAAAAAACACCTGGATTTGCATTCTCAGTGAAATGTTGTTATGCTGTTTTTAAAAAGTTAAGCCCTTTTCTTTACTGGCTAGTTGCAGCAAGTGATATTTCTATCAGGTGGCCATTCTAGAATCAATAAACAAGACTGACCAGAGAGAGGCTGAGTTTCAAGTCAGACATCACTCCACAAGAGGACAAGTTGTTGTTTTTTGTTTTTCTTACCCGTGCTTAGTTTTACTTAGGCAAAGCACATGCCACCTCCTGAAAAGAAATCTTTTGTGATTCAGAAGAACTTGACAGTGACCTTAACTCCATTTTCCATGACAGAGAAGACAACTTACAGAGAGAGATGGATATGATAATAGGCAATTAAAAATAACACACTAAGCCAGTGTGAAATGACAATACACGTACCTACACCCTCATCCCAGAACTATTCAACAAATTATCCCCTTAAATGGCACTTGGAAAATATCAAAATAATCAGGTTGTATAAATAGCTAGTTATGGTCTGATGGATTATTATGGCACAGGGAGGTGACAAACTTTAATGTTTATTATTCCCTCAACACACACAGCCATCAGCTGAGACATCACTCTAAATTACAACCTGTACTGCTAGATACTGATGAATAGTGCTGGCTTGTACTTCCTTATCTAAGCCCTTCTGCAAAGCGTAAAGTTCTCTCTTCTCCTTCCTCATGAACATTTTATTTTTTTTGCTTCTGTTAGCCTGCAGAGACCTGGGTCATAGGCAGCCCTGGTTGTCTGCTAGTTTCAGGGAGTTTGTTATATATTCATTCACTATGAACCGCTTGTTAGAAAGACACAGGGTCAAGTTCAATTCAGATCTAAGACCTCTTCGCTGACTTCCCATAGATCCTTACGGAAGGTAGAGGATATTTAACAGAGGCTCCCAGCCCTGAGAATCAATCGATAGCCTAGGAACAATGAAGTTAAAAATGTGCAAAAGTGTCACTGAGCCGCAAGCAGGAAGAGATCGACAACACAGACCATCCCAGAAAGATAATTATGTCACTAATCTCTCACCAGCCTGCATAACTTTACAGGGGTGGCTTTTTATCTGGCTCCCAAACACAACGAAGCCCCTTGCAAAGACATTCTTGGAGCATTTTATTCCATCAGCACTGACTGACTCACAGCTGAATCCTTGCAATTATATTAATGCTAACAAAGCTTTTCATTTAAGCTCAGTTAAACAGCCTGGTTTATTGCACTTGGTCCTAGCTAAGAAACAGAAAAAATAAGAGCTAATTTTTTCTCCTTCACACTCTCTCTCTATTTAAGTTCATCAGTTTCCCTTTTGTAAATCTAAATTCCAGACGGATGTTGGTTCGAGACCCTCCCTCGCTCTGGAAACAAAGAGATAAAGAGGGGAGCCTCTGTAAGGTTTTACCTCAGTCTGGAAACCTTCCACCAGGATGGCCACCAATAGATTAAAGAGAACGTAATTCCCAAACGTCATAAGGGCGATGAAGTAGAGAGCAGCCCAGGAAGAGGTTGATGCCATGCCGTTGTAGAGGACCTTGTTCCAGTCTTCTTGAGTCAGAATCTATGGAGAAGGAGCACCGTGAGCATAAAGGGACATCACAACAGTCCAACATTCACTAGTAACCCAGCATTCAGGTTATATGACTAGGGACACTCATCTTTCCTACATGCTCTTACTTACGCTCCAGGTCGGCAGAGGTGTATCTTCAGCCTTAAACAGGCAAAGAACCTACTCTTGGGGAAACCAGCACATTGGTAATATGTAATACTAATGCTGAACAATTGCTACTTCTCAACAGCGCTCTAAGGGAGAGAAGTGCACTCACGTTCCAGATGGGCATAGAAGGATTGTTACTTGGCTCAGGTCACCCAGTGAATCAAAGCAAAGACAGTGATAGCACCTGATTCCTCTTCCTCCCCTTTCCCCTTCCCCTCCCCCACACTCTAACCCCAAGGGCTGCAAGCTGCCCTAACTCTGTGCATGGAACTCCAGTTGATATCAAGGCCCGTACAGAGCTTTAAATGACCGCCGTGTAGCATGCACTGGCATTTTGTTCTGTCTGCAAAGACAGATAAAGATCCACCAAAGACTCGGAATACACAGTCTAGATTTGCCAACAGCAATACACTACTCAGTACAAACGATTGCCATAAAGCAGATTCTCCTTACTATGGAGACAGGACTCCAGGCTGGCTGTCTTGCTTTGCAGCGCTCATTGGACTTGTGTCAGCCTTGCTCGCAGACCCGTCCTTTACTCAGACTAATTACCCCTCTGTCGCTCCGCAGAATCTTACCACTGCTCCTGCAAGAGCCTTCTCTTCTGCAGCTTTTGGCATCTCCAGGAGTTCCCCTTTCATCCGATCTCCATGTCTTGTCTCATATCATCAGAAAACGCTTCCCTCCCCCACCCCCCGTTGATACTCTTTGGTTTCTCTCCCCCTCAGCTATTAGTTTTAGTGAGCTCTGCAGAGCATTGTGGAAAGCAAATCTAAACTCTCCCACCCCACTTACAGCCCCACAGTGCGTGCTTGGTAAGGAGTTCTTGTTGTTGTACCTGGAAAACCGTGACGATGGCCCACAGCAAGGAGTCAAAATTCTTCCTGTCCGGCAGGGTGTCTCCATCTCGCTCCGAAGCAAACTTACAGCCGAAAAGATGCATCCCCAGGATACTGAGCACAAGAAGAAGGCAAGATGCAGTTGAAGATGATGTTAAGAAAACAACATAAAGTGGTGGCTCTCTGTGTCTCAGGATATTGTCTGCCTAGCAAACAGTTATTGGGAGCAATACTTCCCTCCATGGAGGAAAGAGAACCTTAATTTGCTTCCTGCCAACTCTCCCCTCAGCAGGGGCGGCTCTATGTTTTTTGCTGCCCCAAGCACGGCAGTCAGGCGGCCTTTGGCAGCATGCCTGCGGGCAGTCCTTGGTTACGAGGATTCGGCGGTGTTTCTGCGGGTGATCTGCCAGTCCTGCGGCTTCGGCTTACCCGCCACCGAATTGCCACCAAAACCGGGACCGACGGACCTCCCTCAGGCACGCCGCCGAAGGTCGCCTCACTGCCGCCTTCACAGCGACTGGCAGGCCGCCCCCCACGGCTTGCCGCCCCAGGCACGCGCTTGCTGCGCTGGTGCCTGGAGCCGCGCCTGCCCCTCAGTATATCTTGGGCAAGGCCAGCCTTACCCCCTGTATATTAGAGACTGGCTCATCCGGGGTTGGATTTTGAGCAGGTTTGACTTATTAGAAAGATCGGAGTAGTTTTCAATATCTGCACCTGGGTTTGGATTTCCAACACCCCCAAAGTTCTGGGCTGCTTGAATCTCAAGTGGATCCAATCCCAAACCTTTTGCACAGAGAGAAAAAGCAAAGCAACGATGCAAAGGGGATAAAAGAACCATGTGTGAATGAGACTGACTCGGACGGGTTTATTCTAGGAGCATTCTCTTCTCTGCCCTTTGAAAGACAGTGTTTTGGTTAAGGCTTCCGGCTTGCCCTCTGGACCACAGCAGGAACGTGATGTCATACGCCTGCTGCCTTGGGGCAATGCCCGTGGGGAATCACCCAGCAGAAGGGATTTCCCTGGAGAACACCCTCACAAACACAGACATGACATTTGGCAAGAATTGCAAGACTCTAGCCAGGGGCTGGTCTGCAGTGCCCGTACCTGCTATGGAGGCTACTGTGCTTCTCATTCAGCAGTTCACTTCAAGAGAGCACAGACAGAGTTATTTACTTTTGCGAGCAATCATGAAACCTATGGATTCTCTTCACATTCTCGTCTAGTCACTGGACCAGAAACTTAAAGCACAGAGCCAGAGCAGGGCATGAAAGGAAATCAGAATCCATGCCATGTACTCACCTAAAGATGAAGATGAAAAGCATCAGTAACATGCAGAAGGTGGCCACATTGTCCATGGTCTTCATAAGGACCACTAGCTGGCGCTGGAGGGCAGGCATGAAGCGGACCAGCTTCAGGACTCGCATCAGACGGAACGTCCGCAGAACTGACAGGCCCCCGCCTTGCTGTCCCACTATCTCCCAGACGCTAAGGAAGAAAAGAGATTAACAGTATGGGACTGGGTGTGGAAAAGGAAGAACTGAACATAAATGCATGGAGACAGTGACGAGAGGAAGGGAGAGAGAAGTGAAAGGAAAGATCCGCTTTCCAAGTTGGTGAAGCTCAGAGAAAACAGGGATGTGAAGTAGGGAGCCTATCAGGAAGGTCTGTACGGACAGTGCCTTCTGATACCTGAATTAGTGTCAGATTTACAAAGAATGGAGTCCCATTAGAGCATGCCAAAAACATGCCTGTAAATCACTGAGTGCATCTGAATGCACAATTACAGTGTTCACATGTGCTCAGTGGGGAAGTGGGCACAAAGACCCAACAAGACATTTGTCAGCTGAAGAGTTTATGTCTAAACTTCCCCAATATCTGGACGTGTTTGGGGCTCTCTCTAAAAAAACCCAAACAAAATCAAAACCAGGCAACCAAAACCCCACAAAGCTAGCCTTGGCATGCAGGGGTATGGGCAGTCATTTATCTATAGGCATCTTTAATAATATACAGTAGATGGTATAAAATATGTCACAGCAAATTAATTAACACTGCATAGGGAACCAGTGATGGTCCATTAGGGTTCTTACAGAAGGTGAAAATAATGATCCAAGGATTCAAATTCATGATATTAATGATGCACAGAAGTCAGAGAGATGGGGTGTGTACACTTTGAGGTGCGGGGGAGAACTATGAAAGAGGAACTCAGAAGTAGGCATAGATATGAGGGAACAAAAAGGACACATGCTATTAAATAAGGCTCTAAACGAGGTATCACAAAAAAGCATGGCTGGGCACATGGAAAACTTTGGCAAAGGGCAATTATACTAAGGATAGCTGCGTATATAATGAACTACCAAAGACAGGAACAAGGTGGGTTGCTACAGGGAGTTTTCAGAAGAGTAGAGAATTTATGGAGAAACAACATATGGGGTACAAAAGCTAACACAGGAGCACAGGGGCCTAAGTGACCCAGAAAGGCCATTTTATCCATTATCCTCTGTTTTAATTCAACAGTCCAGTGAACAGAAACCCTTGTAACCAGACCATCACGCTTTTACCTGATCACTACAATGATCCCATCAAAGATGTTGTATGGATTTTTGATGTAGCCAAATGGACCATACACGAGGACTTTCAGCAGCATCTCCAGGGCAAAGAGGCTAGTGAAGACAATATTGCTGATCTCCAAGGCATTGGTGAGTTCCTCAGGCTGCGATTAAGAACAAAGGGGGGGGGGGAAGTTATATGATACAAATCTTCTCTCTAGGGGTGCTCAGATTTAGACCACAAAATAGACCAGGGCCAATTACAGAAGGATGCAAATGGTGATGTAAAGTGCATGTCACTAAAAGTATAATTTTCAGCCAAGTGAGTAAAAGAGCAAGATAGCAGATGGAAAAACTCCAACAGGACAGCGTAAAATATAGCACTTATTATAGATTACAGAGGTAAATCCACCCATTAAATCCACATTAACTATAGCATCACCACTTTGATGCCTGGTGTGATGCCATCAACCATGGTCATTCTGGCTAGTGCAACAGTCCTTAGTAGACCATGTGCATTTGATTGATTACTACTATAACAGGAGACATTTGTAACACTGTCCAATAGAGAAATTGAGCATTATCTGTAACTCTCACACAGATTATCCTATACAGAGGGGCAAACCTGAGTGTTTTCTCACACACATCAATTACGGGTCTATTCTTTCATTTACTAGGTATCTTAATCTTACATAAAGACTAAAGCTAAGATTTTCAAATGTGATTAGGGATCGTAGGTGCCTAACTTGAGATGCCTCAAAGGAACCTGACTTCCAGAAAGTGCTGAGTGCCCTCAATGTGAAAATCGCTCATCTTTAAGGTTTCTCAAATTGGGAACCTAAAAATGGAGGTATCCCAAAATCACTAGACACTTTTGAAAATCTTACTCTGCACCTACTCTCTAAATAGAATTAGGCAGAGATACAAGCACCTGGAAACAGGGTCTTATAATGGGAAGTGTCAGGCAACCTTAATAATAGGTGGTGCTACCAGACTTGCATTTAATACTTTGAGCTTCTCTAGTGCCTTTCACCTGGGGATCTCAAAGCACGTTACAAACACTAATTAAGCCTTTTGATATACACGTGAGCTAGGCACCAACTATGATAAACACATTACAGAAGAGTAAACTGAGGCACAAAGAGTGAATTATCTGAGGTCACCCAGTGACTCTATAGCAGAGTAGAAATAGAATCTGGGAGCTGTGACTCTCATTCTCCTGAGTTAGGTCCCAATCAGCAAAGTATCTAAGCATGTAAAATTTAAGCAACTTTACAACTGACAAAATAAGACGAGGAATATCCTAAAATTAGCTGGCAATTTAATCTGTGACCTGGCGCCACTGTAGCATGTGCTGCAGGGCTCTAAATACAAGAGTTCCCACTCTTCTGAAACCATGCAAGACAGGAACAGAAGTGTTGCAATACCTAGGCACAACAGGGGTGGTTCCAGGATGTCACCGTAGCCTTACACAGGATGTGGTCACTTGCAATCATTTGTGTCTCAGTGCACCGAGATACCCACAGTGAATAAGGCTTTATAAATACACAGATTAGAGAGACAAAGCCATTTTTTGCACTGAATTCTCTTTCTTTGTTTCTCAATGTCTAAATCTCCACAGACGTACGCTGAATCTGATATTTCACTTTGCCTTCCGCCCTCCTGGCATAATATTTACTCCGTAAACTTGGACCAAAATTGTTCTGACATCAGATTGTAATCCCTCCGGATTTGCACCGACACCGGCAGGAGTTTGTTATAACAAAATTAAATCCCTATCTAGCGATTGGGAAAATGGCTGTGTCCAAAAAAAAAAATGTTATGGAAGGGAATTACCGGGTGTGCTTAGCAGATATTGTTTGGGCACTTCGGATCCCTTAGCCATTTCAAAGTGCTTTTGATTCCCTTCATGACATCAACAGTACTCAGCCCAGGAAAGAGGCCGGAGCTCAGAAAATATTTACTTTTTCAAGAACAAAAAGGGCGGAAGGCAAAAGATTTACATGTGCTGAAGAGGAACCAGAGGGAAAGAAAACAAAGGGTTATTTATCGATTTGCAGCTTGATGCGTCACTCTCATCAGTAACTAAATCCTGGGGCTAGAGTTTGACATTATTTTTCTTGCTGATCTTGAGTTAAAATAAAACTGCTTTAACTCACGCTATTAAACACACAGTTGGTTTAAAATGATCTATGTCCTGGAACACACACACACAAAATCATAAATCGGCCGAGAACTTGTATGTCAAGTGCCATCCCAGGACAATTTCAAAAGCCTGCACTTGTCATGAAAACTGCCAACTCATTCATAACTGCAGAGGCTCAGAGACAGCCTGTGCTGTTATTTTCTTTATGGCAGCTATTTCGTTATGCAAAGAAATGTGCTCTTGGAATCCTTCCTCCTCACACATCATTACCAGTAATTTGGAGCCTATAGGTCACATTCTGCCATCAACTACACCTGTGCAATCCTTTTGCCATAAAAAACATGATACAGTATGTCTGCTGAACAGGGTTGCCCATGTATAACAGAGGGAAAATCTGGCCCTGCAATGAGAACTCAGTGAACTCTGCTGATGGTCATGAGCCAGGCTAGAACCTGGCTCCCTCTCCCATAGATGAGCTATCCATTCCTGGAGGATGCAGGAAGAAACATTAAAAAATGAAGCCAGTCAAGGAGGGGATCTAAGATTAGGCTGACCAGATAGCAAGTGTCAAAAATCGGGACAGGAGGTGGGGGGGTAATAGGTGCCAATGTGAGAAAAAGACCTAAAAATCGAGACTGTCCCTATAAAATCAGGACATCTGGTCACCCTATCTAAGATTAAGTACAAAAAAGTAATAATACTTTGCACTTAACTGGCGCCTTCCGTCTGCTAGGTATACAGGTACCATCTCCATTTTACAGATGGAGAAACTAAAAGACAAAGAGGGGCCAATTGATTACCCCAAGTCACACCGTGAGCCAAAGGCAGACCTGGTAGTAGATTTTATGGGTGGGATTTCCCAAAGAGCTGAGGGATTTAGGCTTCAAACTCCCACTGAAATTCAATGGGAGCTGGGCACCTAACTTGCTTGGGTTCTTTGACAGCCTATTCAAGCCTGATCCTTCTATTAAAAGCAACAGCTATGTATACAGAGGAAGATAGCTGAGGCTGCATTCCCCACATGAGAGACGTGCATAAAGCAAGCCATTAAAGGCACCTGATGCAGGCTGTGTCTAATCCCAACGCGTCCCGGACACCGGTTCTTTGTTTACAAGTGCCCTGCAGAGCTTTAACCCTGGTAAGATGAGAGATAAGTACAGGGACCTGTCAGTGGGAATCAGCCAGTCTCCCCACTCATTGCCAGAAGGACCGGAAAGCATTGTTAATAATCAGCCACAGCTCAGAAGGGCTTCACCTGACAGATGCTGTTGTAAATCATCTCAGAAAGCAACATCCTGAGGTAACCAAAATCTGTAATTGGTGTCACTGCTCTGGCTGGAGTTCAAGCTGTGGGAAAATCATTCTGGTGCCAGAGAGATGGCCTGGGAGCTGAAGTGGGGAATACAGGCGGCTTATGTTGTTTATCTGGCAGGAAAGCCATTAGATGCGAGATTTGAAAATAACCTGCTTCCTGCATTACAAAGAGCAAGGATGTCATCCTGTAGCCCGCACCACTCATTAGTGGGCTCTCCGGATCTCTAACTCCAAGCACTTTCAGAGCTCAGGAGGGGGGTGGGGGAGACGGCATGAGGATGGGCAATGCAGATGCTGGGAGCTCGGTGTCCCTCATACCAGCATCCAGGCTATGGCAGAGGGTTTATCCTTCGCTCTCATCAAACAACGCCTGAGGAAAAATAAAATCCATCCATTTCTGCTTCCTCTGAATCCCGTCATGGCTCTCCCATGGCCGACATGGACAGAGTCCAGGTAACTCTGAAGGAAAAACCACCCATATTCAGTCTGTAGCGCTTTCCATTCAGCCTCCCTTTCACGAGCACCGTATTCACCATGTCTTGTTTACCAAAGTACACATGGCTTGAGACTGTCAAAGCTGCCTGGGGGATTTGGACCTGAGATTCCCAGTTGGGAGTCCAAATCCCCATAGGCAGTTTGAACAGTCTCAGCTGTCCTGTTTCCAAGGAGACATACAAAAATATGACTTTCAAAAACTCTCCTGCCATAGGGTATGTCTACATTGCAGTCAGAGGTATGCCCACAGCACACATAGGCCCACCTGAGCTAGCTTTGATCTAGCGAGTGCAAATACCAATGTAAGGATCTGCAGATCTAGAACTCAGCACTGTAGGATCCTAGGTGGCAGATGCCTCCATCACCCCACAGAGAGCCAAACTGAGCAGCGTCCAACAATTACTGGAGGGCTAGGCAATGCAGGAAGTACCAGCCAAAGAGGCCCAGAGTGACAGAACTTCTGTGGCTGCCTGATTGGTCCACATCAACTATTTAAACCAGGAAGTTGCCCCAGGGACCCAGCTAAGCAACAATGCAGACTCTGCCTTGCTACTGCTACAGGCTTCGTCTTTTGCCCCATCTTACTCCAGACTCTTGCCTTTGATCCTGGCCCAGTGGCTACTATTGGGCGAGCTGCCTGTGCCTCGGTCACTACAACTAACACAGTGAGCTGCAGCAGCATGAACTTCAGAGTACGCTATACCAGCTTGTCTGGGACCCTGAACAATTATGTGGGTGACTAGCTTGCGCTGAAGTCTTTGGTGCTGCAGCGTCACTGCTATTGGTACTCACACTAGCGAGATTAAAGCTAGTAGAGATATCTCTACGTGTGTTGCAATCCAAACCTCCAATTGCAATGTAGACATACCTTAAGAGCTGGTGAACATGTCAAGTGCTCTCTTTAGCGATACTGACCAAATATACCTGGGATAGTCAAAGATTCCTGACAAAGAACCAGTTGCTAGGATGTGTTGCCAAGGATGTGCAACTTTCTTTCCTACAAGACCGGGTTGTTCTTCCCCACACTGTCATAAACAAGAGAGTTTGTCTCAAATACTCTGAGAGGGCCCTGAATTTAGTGGGGAACTGCTGATTTTGGAGAACACAAGATTTATTTAGTTTACGATCATTCTCAATGCAAAACATGAGTCTCACTTGCAGCATAATACCACCTCCTTCCAATTAGATTAAAGTGCATCTGTCATAGAT